TTTTTTTTTTTTTTTTTTTTTTTTTTTTCTGTCAAGAGTTCCCACAACCATTTTATATTTTTCCCATTTCAAATTACCCTGAGCCGAGTAGTAATGTTCGTGGAAATTTCATTTTTCACTTGATTAATAATTATTTTCTTGTTTCTTTCTGGTATTTTGCCATATTGTGCTGTTGCAGATTGCAGGATTGTAATATGTGAACATGCATTATTAAGTTACCTTAAACACTTGTAAGTGATATATTTGAGGGATGGGAGGGGGCGCTTTTGTGATGTTGTATCAAATTTTGTCCATGAGGAAAAGGAAAAAATAAAACAAGGTCGTCCATTAGATAGTGCACATTGTCTGAAATTTTGAATTATGTTCTTTCCCTGCACTGGACTTCGCTACACATTTATTTCTTTTAATTTATCAATATGCTCTACATGTTTATAATGAACTTGCAGTCTATAATTTGAAGCCTCTGTTTCATATGTATCTGTAACAGCTGACTCTGGAAAGAAAAAAATTCTGCTTCTCAAGGGGAAAGAGCGAGATATATCTCATGTACGTTTCTTTAGTTCTCTCAACTAATTATTCCATTCCAACTTTGTTACTCTCTTTAGAATTATTAACTTGTGTGTATCAATTGTCACTCAAGGCTAATTTTGGAGGGCACAAATTCTTTTCTCTTGCCTCAAATTGTGACACTTGATTATCTATTTCTTGGATAATGATACCTTTGCAGGTTTCTGATGGCATGCTACAGTTGCAGAGCGTGACATCTACTGGGACTTCTCCTGCTAGTGCATCAAAACATAATCAGAGGCGTGAGGCTAGTGGAAGCATGATCAGAAGCATTCTTTTAAATAATGAATCACGTCATGGACAGACTTCATCAGGAGCTCCATCTCATCAAAAAATTCAGATCCTGAACTCAGACAATGGGAAGCGACTACCTCGTTCCATTAATGCTCGATCTGGGTCTAATGATATGTCCAGTAATGAACCAAATTCATCCGGTTTGGAAGGGGATGGAAAAAGGCCTTCAGACGGTAAACCTAGTAAGAAGGAACTTCATGGCCTGGGTAGTCTTAGCGAGAAGCAAGAAAAACGAATAAGAAACAAAGATAGACCTGATCGTGGTGTGTGGGCGCCACGTAGTCGTTCAGATGCTTCAGTCTCACAACTTGAGGAATCCTCTGTTGCACAATCTAGCCATTTGCTTTCTGACTCAGTTGAAGGTAGTACTATTATAATCCTTTGGAGATGAAGAGGCTACTTGCATATATATACACAATCATATTATTGAAGTATCGGACCTTGGTCATTGTGTCAAATCATACTGCTTGATATGAGCTAAATGCAGACTCTGTTCCACATGAGAAATTATAACCCAATATGTATTTTATGCATTTACAGCATACCGTGGGGAAATGAAAGAAGATATTCATGTAAGCAGGACTGGGGATGTTACAACTACTGTGAGTGGACGTAACAGTTCAGTGGAAAATGGTTGTACTTCCTCACGAACGCTTCTTACGTTCACTTATTTTAGGAAGCTGTAAAAGTACTTTCTGCTTTTCGTTAATCTAAAATGTGTTGTGCTTTCTTTAGGTTCTGTTAGACATGGTGGACGTCGTGGGGCTGGGCATGTCATGAAGGATGATGGGTCATTGAACCCAAATGAAGGGAAGCCGTCCAAAAGAGGTGTTGCCAGTGGTCACGAGGTTCGTTTCTGCATCCATGCTAGTGACTATCTCTCGTGTTACATGATCACTTCTTTTTCAGAAACTCATTATCTTTGATGCCTATGCAGAAACAAGTATGGGTTCAGAAGTCATCTTCAGGTTCTTAACATATTTAAATCATGTGAGTCCTTTGCATATTAGCAATTTTTTATCTCCTTTATGATACAAGCAAGACTGTTTTAAGAGGTTTTTGTCCCCAGAGATGTCCAACCGAACGACAAAGCAGTGTCTAAATTAACTAAAGATTCTGGTTTAAAGTAACCATAGCACATGTTTGAATCCATCCATCGTGCCAACATTTCACTAATATCATTAAGAGGTTATTGCTTATATTGCTCACTGCTGCCATGCATTCTCCTTGAATTCATCTGATATCTGCATATAATTAACATATTGGCTGGATTTTGTGTGCTGTTTTATTTATTGTTCTCTATTGAATCGTGACGATGTGTATGCTATCGAACAGATAATGGCATCCAGACAGGACTATGGTTCCTCAAACTTCCAGGGGGAATATCTCCATTCTGAGGACTTAATGCACATCCTCAGAAGGCATCATCATGTAAAATGGAGATATGCCCTGGAAGCAGTTGGTAACAGTAATAGGTTTCATGAACTGGATTGCAAGATGCAATTGTTTCGTATACGGGTGGTTACAAAACACAGAAGTGTTCTCTGGTTGAAGACCGAATATGCGTTCTATGGATTTCTGGTTTTACAAAATCGAAGTTTCTTTGGTTGAAGACCAAATATGGTTTGTGGATTTTGGTTTGGTATGATCTGATTTTTTTGCCCAAACATACCAAGTGTGACACTGCTTCACCTGGAGGAACGTGCTGGTATATACATACGTGGCTTGCATGACACGAGATCAAAGCCAAGAGGGAGATTCATTCTAACTTTCCCTTTGCTTGATGTTTTGGTCATAATGCTATGTTTCTTTTCCCTTAGGAGCTTGAAATATAGAAAGTACCTAGTAGTACTCTGCTTACCATAATCTCACTGGGGGTGGTTAGTACACAATTGTACTTGATTCTTTGCGTGAGGCTGTGAATCAGAATCATCAAACTTAATACTCTTTCATGTCGTATATGAAAAATGTGATGGATGATTATGATATATGTGTTTCTATCGACTAATATATCACTTTTATTTACTTTCCTTTGTGTTTGTTTGGTCATTTCTGGATAAGAACCTCGTGTTCTTTGGTTTCTAATATTCATTCATAGCACAAATCCATGATTTTATTATGCCCTGTTATCTTTTTTGGTTCTGCTATATAAATAAATAACTTACAAAATCAAATCAAGGAGCACAAAAGCTTTGTTTTGTTCTTTCTATGAGACAGATTGAGAGAGTGAGAAGCCTAGTTTATGGAATTTGAGCAATTTCCAGGAGGATCTTATGGAGTGATTGTGGCTTAGAGAAAAAAGGGCAATGATCACTGCCTTTGATCTTGAAAACTCTTTCAGGTGGGTTTTCCCTGACCAGCTTTTCTTGTATATCAGGTGAGAGTGCGCGATCATTGAGCGTTTGAACGAAGAATCGACGCCCGGTTCCGTAGTTTTTAGGGGACAGTGAGAGTTTCTCCATGACTGGACCCAATGGGAAGGGTCTCATTGAAACCATTGCCAAAGCCACATCCTGCATTCCCACCAACCATATTGGTCTTTAGCTCACTTATATCACATCTTCATATATATATTTACACAACTCAGAAGCATAAAACAAACTTCAACAAGTTTTCTATGGAAAAGTTTGGTTCCTAGTACTCAGAAGTAGAAAAAACTATGAGTAGGATCCTAAACCAAACTCGGAGCTCATGAACACACCTAGCTCTGATATTTCACTAGTATTCTAAAGCAGTAGAAACTACGAGTGCATACGAAAGGATCCTGAACATCACCTAGCCCTGATACTTCACTAGTACTCTAAAGCAAAAGAAACTAAAGGATCCTAAACCAAACTCGAAGCTCATGAACATCACCTAGCTCTAATACTTCACTAGTACTCTAAGGCAAGAGAAACTACGAATGTATACAAAAGGATCCTAAACCAAATTCGAAGCTCATAAACATCACCTATCTCTGATACTTCACTAGTACTCTAAAGCAGAAGAAACTACCAATAGGATCCTAAACTAAACTCGGAGCCTTCGAATGTATACAAAAGGATCCTAAATCAAACTCGATTTAAAGCCAAGGTGAGAAAAGTACCTTGGTAGGAGATTGATTGAAGTACATCCCCTTCATTTGTTCTTTCTCAAACATGAATCCTGTAGGCGGTTCATCTTTTCCATTCCCATAGATCAAAAACTTTGAGTCTTTCATGAAAATCTCTTCAGATCCAAGCTGCAAAACAGTTTATATCAGCATGAACAACAGAGAGTTTATGAAACTCCAAGAAAAGCAACGTTCCATAGTTAATCAAATACCTCTTCCATGAACACATCAAAAGGTCTCTGCCCATCACCCACCATCGTTGCACAAATGTAAACTGCTTTCGTTACTTTGTTTGAGAAATGTTCCAAAGCATAAGAAACACAAGCACCTCCACTACTGTGCCCAACTAGAACAACCTGCAAAACACCAAGTTTTGTTAACTTTAATTAGCAGAATGAGCGGGTAAAGTACTCTGTTAGAAGGCCTTGTAGCTCTGATACTTCACTAATACCTTTTCGTTGTCAGGAAGGCCTTGTAGATACTCAATCAATGGCTTTGAGTACTCAACTAGACTATCCACCTTGTTTGTATCTGTTAGATCAATACCAGAGCCTTTGAGATCAATGGCTATTGGAGACAATCCGACTTCCTCCAGTAGAGAAATTGTCTTGTACCAACACCAAGCTCCAAACCCTTCACCATGAACTAAAACAAATTTCTTTTCCTTTACGTTTTCAAGAAAATCTAGTGCCTGCAAAATGATATGAATTGGTGAGATGATTAGTGATAAAGTAGCAGAATCTGATAACAGGTAGACATTTCTAAGCCTCACCTGCAGATTTGCTTCACCTGAAGTCACCTCTGCTCTCGAAACTCTCTTGCTCGGATTCTAAGAGGAAGAAAAGAAAATCGTGTTAATGCAATAGATCCTTCATTTCTTCAAACGGAACGAACAGAGATAGAATTAGACCGATTCCCTAAATGCTTTTCTCGGTATTCCTCAATGTCCCGGCTATTCACGAAACGTGAGAAGCAAATGAATAATCATCCGCTTCTGGAAGAAATTCACGGGAATCCTATAAGATCCATTCGTTCTCTTTTCTCTAATAGATGTTCAGAACTTCATAGGGATTCGAATCAAACCATAGCTCACGAGGTCTAGAACTCATTAAGATCCTACTCATTGATTACACTTCATAGTTCTTCCTTTATTACTTTCTATTCATGGATTTGGTAGACTTTTCATAATTTACATCACATGGTAGATTCTGACATCTATAATTAAGCACACCAGAAATCATTCATTCATTCTCCTCATGCTGATAAAAAGAACAGAGTAATGATAGCCAGAAAAGGTCAACCACAAAGGAAAAAGAAACTATTTAATGCTGAAAAGTAGACTCACAGATTATAAAATATGAACCATTCTAAAAGGCAATCCGCCATGAAATCAAACAGAGCTTAATCATGATAACCCACTTTTCTTGATCCAAATATAAACAAACAAACAAACAAAATAAAGACCCACCTGCTTCCCATTACAGAATGGATCGGATAGATTATGTCTTCGAGAACTTGTCGACCCAATTCTTTTCGAAGTGGATCCATCAAACCTCTGAGACAATTGAAGCTGTTGCAGAGCCAACGAGAGTGCTTGCTTCTTCAAAAACTCTTCCTCGCTCTGCAACTTCCTCTGCGACCGACCCATTCTCTTGCTTCTTGATCCAATCTCTTTCACATCCTTCTTTGACTTGCAAATCAGGCTGTTACCCATTATTCAGAACCTGATTCTGAACAAAACCCACAAATTTTTTCGACTCAAAACGATAAGAAATCGAAGAAATCTCATGAAAAACGAAGGTTAAGGCGAGGAATTAGGGGTTGTGTTCATCGCGGTATTGTCAAGAGTTTAGTAAGCGGGAGTGGGTGAGAGTAAGGAAGGAAGAAAAGGGTCGTGCCGCGGAGTTGAGGCTTCCGAACTTGCTAAGACTTTTAATGATGGATCCCGTGTGTTAAAGAATGAGAACCGAAGGAAAGTGACAGATATCGGAAGAGGGTACTTTCAATTATAGTTTTTGTTTCTCGTTCTTAACATGGTATGAAAGCAAAAGAAGAGAAAGAACCGAAGAAAAGTAACTAAGATCGAAATAGAGAACTTTCAATCTCACTTTTGTTTCTCCTTCTTAACATGATATCAGAGCTGGAGAAGACGGAGAACAGAAGAAAATTGACAGATATCAAAACAGAGGACTTTCAATCCCGCTTTTGTTTCTCATTCTTAACATGGTATCAGAGAAAAATAAGAGGAAGAACCGTAGAAAAGTGGCAGAGATCGAAATAGAGGACTTTCAACCTCACTTTTGTTTCTCATTCTTAACACAGTATCAGAGCAGAAGAGGAAGAAGAACAGAAAAAAAGTAGAAGACTTTCAATCTCACTTCTGTTTCTCATTCTTAACATAGCATCAGAGCAGGAGAAGATGAAGAAAAGTGACAGAGATCAGAAAGTTTTCAATTCCACTTCTGTTTCTCGTTTCTCATTATTTAACACCATGTGAAATATGAACAAAAACAGCTCATATTTACAAACCGCCTTGTAATATTTATGACTGATTTGACTCGAGAATGATAAATAATGTTCGGAAGAGATCGGAAATGGGGAAGGGCTGGAAAACATAAAATTTGTAGTTGAAAAACTTGATGGAGAATTACAAAGGGTGATAATGGAAGAAAGGTTGTCTAGTTTTTAAAGCAAAGCACCATTTTCAATCAATTCTCATTGATTTTGGCGGTTGCTGTGGAAACGAATAATACACCAAATTTATTTACTCGACATTTCATTTCATTTTCTATGGCTGTTTTTGCCATGTGATTTTTTTTATCGGATCAACTCGATCAACTTGAAAATAAGGTTATAATCCAATATGGTAATTCTAGTCAACTGAATTTAAGAACTTTCTTAAAAGGCTTTGAATGTATAAACCTCAGGTTCGCAAATGCTAAAACCTCCGACTCAAATTGGTTTCATTCCAAAGGATTGGAATTCTCGAGAATTTGGTTAACAACTTTATTGAAGGATAAGATCTTTAGTACTAAATATCTAAAAACCTCGAAACGATAAGTAATTACTCCACAAGTAAAATTAATAACGTGAAGCTCAAATAGTTCTGAGCATACAACTTGTGCGCGGAGGGTAGAGTAACTAGTTCATACTCTTGGCCAACAAAGCTACACACCACTTTGGTGGTAATTGCTCGTGTGCATAAAGGTGTTCCATGACTCATTAGTCCTCTCTTCCATGGCCTTGCACAACCTTTTCACACCTGAAGGGAGTGGGTTTTCATCTCACTGGTATTTATGTCCGATGGGGTAAACCGTTCATATTCGGTTGCTTTCATTCTATATTTCACCTTTCCTTTTCTTACTGGTGAGCTTATGACGAATAGTCATGTGGGGGTACATTTGGGAATTATTCGTGGTTCATTGGGTGTCTTAAAACGAGAGGTGGGGTTCAGTTTGTCTCCTCTGGTTTTGGTTCGTTGGAAAATAACGATGACCATTCAATCTCTCTCTGTTACTCGTGGTTCCTCTCTTGCAAGTGTGTGTTGTGAGGGGCGACTGAGTATGATTTCATTTCGTGTACCCTTAGTGTCTGGGAGCGAACGTGGGTTGCGAGCGTGAGAATTCCGACACTTGCCCATTTTCCAGCAACCGCACAATTTTTTTTTTTTTTTTTTTTTTTTTTGAATTCTTACCTATCACTTATTAATATTTGATATTTTGTTTAGGTTACTCGGTCATTAGTCCAATTAACTCAAAATTTTAAATTAGTCCAATTTTTTTTTTCTATTAGACCCGGGTATATTTCAACCGTTCAACTAATTTCATAATTTCATTTTTGTTCTTCCATTTATAACAACTACCTATTTATTACACCACGTGTTTAAGAAATTGGCTTGGCTTAAAGAAAATTATGGTGTCCCTCATTAATGTCCTCCAACTCCAATCCATTAAGGATCCTTAGGGCCACAATGAATGGCAATTGGAGGCATATCACACCAATCATGCCCACAATTATTCCAGGTGCCACCACTAGGTTTTTGAGCCAAGTTGTTTATATCTTGTTCGTCTTTCGTACATATAAAGGTATGCTCGAGTTGGATTGAATTATGAATTTATTTAAGTTAGGTTGTGTCTATTAGATGAACACGACTCTCCACAATGGTATGATATTGTTCATTTTGAGCATAAGCTCTCATGAGTTTGGTTTGTGCTTCCTCAAAAGGCCTTGGACCAATGGGGATAATATTCATTGATTATAAACTCATGATCATTCTCTAAATTAGTCGATGTTCGACTTTCATCTAACATCTCCCCTCGAACAAAGTACGTCTCCCTTTAGTCGAGACTCGACTCCTTTTTCTTTTGGAGTCTTAGTCATTTTTTACTATGCCTTCGACTTTTTCCCACTTTCATCCAACACCTCCCCTCGAACAAAGTACGTCTCCCCTTAATCGAGGCTCGACTCCTTTTTCTTTTGGAGTCTTAGTCATTTTTTTACTATGCCTTCGACTTTTTCTTTTGGAGTCCTTTGTTTGACATTTGAGGATTCTATTGACGTGGCTAAGTTTTGTTCGAGGGCTCCAAAGAAAGGGGTTGAGCCTCGATTAAGGGGAGGCTATTTGAGAGCTCCATAAGCCTCAAAGGAGGCTTATAATGTACGAGGATTGTTGAGGATTATTGGGAGTGAGTCCCACATTGATTAATTTAGTGGAAGATCATGGGTTTATAAATGAGGAATACTATCTACTATCTCGATTGGTAGTGAGGCCTTTTGGATAAGCCCAAAGCAAAGCTATGAGAGCTTATACTCAAAGTGGACAATATCATACCATTGTGGAGAGTCGTATGCCTCTAATAAGTTTAAGGCATGACTCTGATACCATGTTAGAATGAAAATATATTTTTACTTACGGTCAATTATATATACATATATTTATTTTATTTTTATTTTATTTTTATTCAATTTCATAATTATTTTTTATGGTTTATTCTCCCACATCTCTTACAAATATATGAGAGCGTGTAGGTGATATATTCATAATGGGTTGGAATAGTTATGAAATGACGTGTAAATAAAATCTTTATACTCTATTCACAACAACAAAGAGAATTGAATAGCATAAGTGGTTAAGGTCTTTAGTTCAAAGGATCTCCCTAAAGTTGTTCTTTCTACTTCATTTGGGTCATATCCAACATTTGGTATCAAAGCTAGGATGTCGAAATAAATGTTGTCACCGCATAAAGTTATTGGAGGAGATATGACGATGATAAAGAGCGGAAAGGAGGGGAATGTAACACTCTAATATCCATTACTCATGAAGAGTAACTGCGCAACATGGTCGACAAAGATGTGTGTTAACTTACACGCACAAGGTGTATGGGATGTCATCGAGCATGGTGACATTGAGGAGCGTGAGAAAATGATGACTCTTGCCTCCATCAACCAAGCAATCTCGGAGGATGTCCTTCTCATGTTAGCAGAGAAGAACTCAAAGAAGCAGTGTGAAAAACGCTGCAAATAATGCATGTGGGTGTGGAACATGTCAAGAAAGCATAGGTTCATTCTTTAAAGAATGAGTTTAAGATTATCCGCATGAAGGATAGTTAATCAGTTGATGATGCTCATTAGAAACATTTGTTCTTAGGCGACGAGGTGGAGGAGATCTTCGTTGTCCAAAAGTTTCTTCAAGTTGTCCCCCTAAGATTCATGTACATTGATGTCTCTATTGTGCAGTTCAACAACCTTTATAATATGTCGATGAAGAGGTCGTTGGTCGTTTCAAGGTTCATGAGGCGAGATTTTGTTGCTACGATGACAGAGAGGAGGAGAAACATCTCTTATTGACACATGAGGAGTGACTTGCATAGACGAAAAGGAAAGATGCGGATAAGCGGATAAGCAAACCTCACTCACACATGATCAAGAGTTCACATTGATGTTGGCCGAGAAGATGCCCAACCTGTTGATGCTCAACGAAAAGAAGGTTATGGTGAACCTTCTCACAAAGGAGAAGACCAAGTGGAGACTAACATGTGGTATCTAGACAACGGAGCAAGCAACCACATGATCAGAGATCGAGCAAAGTTTAAGGAGTTTGATGAGAAGCTCATTGATGTGAAGTTTGGCGATGGATCAATTGTGCTGATCCAAGGCAAAGAATTCATCTTGTTCCCATGCAAGAATGACGACCAACGTCATTGGAAATGTGAAATTTGGCGATGGATCAATTGTACTGATCCAAGGCAAATGATTCATCTTGTTCCCATGCAAGAACGACGACCAACGTCTACTGACCAAGGTATATTATATCCCAAGCTTGAAGAGTAATATTATCAGTCTTGGTCAGATGATGGAAGAAAGAAGAAGAGTGGAGTTAGCTGACTCGTTCATCAAGATGTTCGACAGAAATGGAGCCTTGTTGATGAAGGTAAAACAATCAACTAATGCCTGTACAAGATACTATTGGAGACCATTCGACCCACCTCTCTATTGACGACACTCGTAGACCCAGCTTGGTTATGACATGCAAAACTAGGACACTTCAACTTTCTGGTGCTCAAAATGATGATAGAGAAGAACATGACTACGAGGCTACCCAAAATCATGCACCTGAACCAACTTACTTGTAGATGATTATAGTCGTTGGATGTGGGTGTGCATGCTTAGAGAAAAAGGAGAGAAATTATGTGTGTTCAAGAAGTTAAAAAAACTAGTTGAAAATGGGTTTGATCACGAGTTAAGAACCTTGCGCATTGATCAAGGTGACAAGTTCTTATCTTAAAATTTCTCAAAGGTTGAGAAATGGTACACATCCAATTCTACCCGACTGGAAGTTGAGACTAACTCGATGAAATGATCTTTAATAATAGCTTCCATATACGCATGTGATTGCACTTCCTAACCTCAGTAGTGGGGTCACTTACTACGGAGTATTTTTTAAAATACTAAGTCACGTGCT